TTTATCTCATCCAAACTCGTCAAATTTTTCCCTTAACCCCTGGCCCTCTGTCGTAAAGAAAATCTTTCAAAGTGACAGAGGTTCAACTAGCCCTCTCGTTGAAAAATATTGACAGTTGCGTACACTCTCCGATTATTCTTCCCTTCTATGATCTCGGCGCTCAGTCCACTCTCCTCTCTTTTTTCTTTTTCTTAGAGCGTACCCTGGCCTCACACCGAACAAAATACTAGTGTCGACTATCCAAGCCGTGAAGCAGCAAGATCCAAATCCGCTGGAGCCAAGAAGTGGACGAATAGATCATTGACGACCAGCGTCAATGTCTCTGGATATTATGAAGTAATAATAACAATTGCGATGGCCACAAAGGGTAATTAAAGGCAACTAGAAAACGGTGAGATAGAGTAAAAAGAATAGAAAATGGTGAGAATATCAGTGAGGGGTTGGAATTCAAGAGTATGATGCACTGCATCTGGATCCACGTACCTCCTTCACTGTCAAGCTTCCATTTTGGGGGGAAAGGAAGGGAGAAACCGCCCTTGCAATAGTGATTCAGCTAACGAGAAGAAAAACGATATAAGTCGGGGGTAGAGAGAGGCGTCGCATTCCACTCCATGGATACTTCAGAGGAGTTAAATATGCTAGCCGCCAGTTGCCCAAGCATACCAACAGGAGATCAAACACCAAGCTGATACACAAAACGGATATTTTGATACTGATTCTTGTTAATGAGAGAGCAACTGGCGCCGCCAGTCCATTCAACACGCCACAACTGGGTGGTAGTCGTGGAACCGCGGGCGTTGTCTGATACAGAAGCGCAACCATTGAGGTTTCACCACGTTGTGTGGACCCATTTGAACTGGCGGTTAGAGGATGGTTAAATTTAGTAGGTTCCAGATGCTGTTGATTTGGCAGGTCGAGGTGAGAGATGCCATAATTAGCCTGCAAATGTATTCTTTATTTAGTAGAGAGAAAGGGAATTGGGTGCTGCTGAGATACTCAGGCAGCCAGTATATGGCTGGCAGGAGGTAAAAGTTTAGATGCTGAGGTTTGGCTTTGGGATGTGCCAAGACGGGGGCGGGTGACTGGGGATATGGCATGAATACTAAGAAATAGACTTATTAAAAACCCACACAAACCGCAGGATTTTTGCTACCCCAGTCTAGAGAATGGAATATTTGAGACTTGCACACAAAATCTAGTCTTGCAATATTATGTCTCAAGATAAGTATATAACCAATCTCACATTCCATCATCACCAATCATACACATACTGTACATGAGGTGAAGGGCAAAACGGCCGCGCATATCCTCTAACACCACCTCCCAGCTCCTGGGCAGGCACAATCGGCGTCCGACGCCTCCATTATTATATAAGT